AGCGTACCGCCAAATCAGTAGATATAGCCCGCCCACCGCCTGTACAAAAAGTTAGCAAAATAGCTACATCACCCTGCTGCACAATCCGAACGAGGAAAGGAAAAAAAAAGCGCCGTATTAAGATTTACGAGCTAGATAGTCTTAATGAAGCCGTAATCTTTCTGTTGCATATACACCGATGCGACGCTGATGCAAAGGTCTTTGTCGCAAGCATGTATATTTGCCGCCTCCAGCAACTTTCTTTCTAACCTTTCTTTGTTGCGTCCCTCCACCTGCGCACCGTCCAGCACGGGGGAACAACCACAAGTTTTACAATGCCCCGGCAAGTGAGAACCGCAATTGTTGCGGCTTCTCTTGGCAACAATTACGGTTCTCACTTGCCGGAGCACTGTAAAACCTGTGGTTGTTCCCCCGTGCTGGACGGGGCGCAGGTGGAGGGACGCAACAAAGGAAGAGTAGAAAGAGAGTCGCTGGAGGCGGCAATTATACATGCTTGCAACAAAGACCTTTGCATCAGCGTCGCATCGGTGTATATGAAACCGAAAGAGTACTGCTTCATTAACACTATCTAGCTCGTAAATATTAACACGGCGATTTTGCTTTTTTTTCCCTCGCTCGAATTGTGTGGCGGGATAATATAGCTGTTTTGCTAACTTTTTGAACAGGCGGTGGGCGGGCTATATCTACTGATTTGGCGGTACGCTGTGTTTATGTTGAGACGAGATTACGCGCGTGCACGGCGAAAGCAAAGTTGTAAGCATTCAACAAACTTTAGCTGCCAGTTAGCGCTTGTCCTGTGTGCTTCTTTGTCTTTTTGTCCCGTCTTTTTTGCGCTTTTTTTAATATGAATGTCAATTACTAGCTTGCCCAGCAGACCAAGCTTTTACAGTATTAAGTCACTTAGGCGTCCCAATTTTGAAAAGTCTCCTGAATCGATTTGGGTAGAAATTCGCTCCAAGCTCCGGGAACGAGTTCTTGGTGGTTTCTTATGTTCCGCCTCAGGTAAACCCGGACATATTTAATGTAAACCTTAGCGATATAGCAGAGACAGATAATGGACAAAACTACCGTTGTTGTTTAATCCTAGGAGATTTTAATGTCTCAGGAATTACCTGGGAGAATGATAAAAAAAAATTACGTCTCAAACAAGTGCACTCTTAATAATGACTTTGGTCGAAGTTTCATGTTTAACAAAACACAACTCGATCCTTACTTGTAAAGTTAATGTTCTCAATTTGTTGCCTTTCAACATTGATGATTCGAGCGTGACTTTGTGCAAAGTATCTGTCGTACCTATAGATAAGTATCATCCCGCACTAAAAATAGCTTTCCCGATTTTGTCTGACTTAAACAGCGTTAACTCTAACTATTTCATTTTCGCACTAAGTTTACGACACTGCTGCGGACTACTATGCTAATCTGTATTATAATGTTTCTAAAGTTGGCTTGGAATGAATTCTACGGCGCCACAATGTCGATTACCTGGTCGCCGAATTCGCTAAAATAATTCAGGTAGGTAAGGACACCTATATTCCCCTGAAGACACGTCCCAGACCTAAATTCCCTTACTGGTTCTGTCCTGAGTTGAGGATACTCTTAAATATAAAACTGTTTTTAAAACGAAAGTACAGGACACGCGGCCTCCCGGAGTAGGGAATTAATTTCAAGCGCTGCTGGGCACACTGCCAGTACGTTTTCATTCTGAACCGTCAGGCGCATCGGGTAACGGTGAAAACAAATTTAACCCGAATTTCTAAAAAAAGAGAGAGAGAGAGATTTAGCAGTACGCGGATTTCCGTTCCGCAAAAGTGAACAAACCAAAGATTATTACTCTCTCTATATATATTTTGGAAAAACAAAATACGCCTGAGATTTTTGCCGACATATTTCAAGTCCGTCTACAGCGATAGCGTAAATTCCTTCTGCAATGCTACTTCCCGCACGCGGCTTGGCAATGTGCTGAGATCGATCACGACTTTTGAGGACACTTTTCTGGAGTGTACTAAAAAAAAAATGAATCCGAAGCAGTCGACTGGACACGTCGGAATACTATCAGCCATATTCAAAATTTACCGTAAAATATTTACTCCAATAATATGTGACATATCTAATAAGTAAGTTAAGACTGATGTTTTTCCATCAACGTAAAAATTTGGGGTAAATGTTCAGATTCATGATTCAGAAGAAGCGGGGATACATCAAATTATAGAACCATTTTTCTCCTGTGCCCGTTTTCAAAACTTCTCAAAATGGTCGTTCGCAGCGTTTTGCTATTGTTTTTTTATTCAAAAGCCTACTTATTCCTATAACACGGCTTTGTATCTGGCAGGCCGGCGACCACAAATCTGGTAGCTTATTTATCGAACTGTCGCATTTTATGCAATAAAGGCCAACTCGATGATGTTTATTTTGACTTAAGCGAGGCTTTCGACCTATTGGTTATTAATATCGAAGCCTTCTCAAAATCGACTGTGTGGACAGGTTCTCAAATGGTTTCAGAGTTACTTAACTGGACACGAAAGGTTTCGTTAAAGTTAACCATATAAATTCCACGGCATTCAAAATTAACTCAGGCGTTCCTCGGTGTTCCGTTTTAGGCCCACTCCCATGTACTATTTTAGTTAATGATGCTTGCCACGTCATCTCGCATCCATCTTTCTTACAGTATGCTCATGATATTCAAATACATCGCAAAATTTGAAACGTAGACGTCGACACGAGGCTTAAGGACGACAGGAGTTCATTGAACGATTGGCGTACGGCAAACAAGCTTTTTCTAAATCAATTTGAAACTAAAGCGATGACATTTCCTCAAGAGCCTGTGGACGTTTGTATCTCTTATTGTATTCGTGGATATTTACTGTCTCGCGTGAGTCGCATAAGATATCTCGGCGTTACATTGGATTCAAGCCTACAATTTGATAACCCCCCAAACGAAATAGTTGAAGGATCCTTACGTGCCCTGGGAATAGCATAACAAGACGTTTAATAAAGGAGTTTGAAAACCCATTTGCCTTCATGACACTGTATTGCTCATTTAGTCGTTCCCAGCTAAAAAACCCACCTTTTGTGTGGAATGGCATCTGCAGAACTAACTCGTTAAAAATAGAACTTGAACAAAAAATTTCATCTTGTGAAATTCTCACAAGTGAAAGTATCACCTAACCTATGAAGTTGAGGTGGGACGGGTGAAGTTACCTAACATCGATGTCGAAAGGAATCAAACTTGTTCTTTTTTTTAAACTCTTCATGGTTGGATTGAGCCTTCATAGCTCTTGTCTAAAGTGTGTATACTGGTCGCGCAAATGTCTATACGGCTCAAATCGTCATTCTACGCTGCTAGAAAGCTTTGTCAGCTCCACTTGATATTTAGACTGTTAGAGCGTTGTAACTGTTCCAGCAAAGAACTGGATATTTTACCTGTTGTTGTCAGAAGTTTTATAAGCGGATTAAAGGCCTGTTTGAGTCTACCTGGAGTTAAGTAAAACAAACTAAACGAACTGACATAAAGCATGCCTTTGAAAGAAGAAAAAATACAATAGTGTCCACTTAGGCCTACAATACGTGTATGAAACAATTAAACATGAAATGTAATTAAAACACTCCCCATCTCAATAGTAAAAAAAATTCGGACAGTCAACCCTAGTTTTCATTTCCAGGGACAAGAAAAAAAAATTAACTAGCTATATGGCATAAATAAAAAGCAGCATTTGAAAATTCCTGTAGACAGTTCATCGACAAAATATTCAGGGGAAAGGTATGGTTTCATAAGCAGATTGAACGCCTGTTTGAGTCTACCTGGAGTTAAGTAACACAAACTAAACGAACTGACATAAAACATACCTTTGAAAGGAGAAAAAATACAATAGTGTCCATTTAGGCCTACAATAAGTGTATGAAACAGTTAAACATAAAACGTAATTAAAACGCTCCACATCTCAATAGTAAAAAAGAAAATCCGGACAGTTAACCCTAGTTTTCATTTCCAGTGACGAGAAAAAAAAAATAACTAGCTGTTGTAACCTGGGTCATGGTGGCATATATATTTATTTCGAGGAGCCGAAATAAAGCATGTCCGGCCGCCGGGACATATGGTGCCGAACGCCCGAGCTGCCAGCCACGCGAGCCCGTGCACTTGGCTTGATGGTCCCTTCGATGATGATAGCAGGTTGTCTGCTACACTAGCTATATTGCATAAATAAAAAATAACATTTGAAAATCCCTGTGGACAGTTCATCGATAAAATATTCAGGGAAAAGATATTCTATCGAGGTCTAGCAGTCTAAGAAAATCTGGTCGTAAAAGAGCTTTTTAAGTGTTCGTCGGCTTTTCTATATTTTGCACACTAAAAAGTCTTTTGGCTAAAAGAGTTCTTCGTGAAAAAACCTCTATGGAAGTATTTTCAGCTTTTTTTTTCTTTTTTTTTCTTTTTTTTTTTTTTTATTCGAAAGAGTTTTTCATCGCCCAGTTGCATTTCTAGTGCGCCAGGCGGTGATAATGCTTGAGGCGAAATCGTTCTTCCTTCACGACATGAAACATTTCTTGCGGCGTCAAAATACGTTTCAAAAACGCTTTTTTTTTTCTTCTTTTTTAGATTCAGTTTTAGGAAAAAAAGGGAATACCTACGTACGTCAATACGAATTTTCTGAAATTTAAATTGGAGTTTTTGGGATTTTTTTCGCTCAAAATTACCTTAAACCGCTACTTTAATTTTTTTTCTTTTTTTTACCAGTATAGCTTGCACGTCATTTAGGTCCCTTGTGAGGCAGGCGAAATCTTCCGACGCACTCCGAGAGGAGGAGTCCCCCACCCCGTGGCCCCTCCCAGCGAATGTGGCCCGAGCGCTCGCTCCCAGGCCGTACACGCCTCTCTTCAACGTCACAGAGTTTTCGCGGCGCCCACGCCGCCGGGCTCCGAGCGAGTATATAAAGGGGTCGCGTTCCGGGCCCTTCGCGCAAGTCGCGGGCTGAATTCGAAAAGAGTGCGTCGCTGCCAAAGAAAAGCGTACACCAAACGGGAGCGAGGCAGCTGACGATCGAAGCAGGCATTCCCTTTGAGCAAAACTTCGAGCTGTGCCCGTCCCGTCTCCCTGACGCTGCCCCACCGGAGTCGTTCCACAGGTTACTCAGAAGCTGCTCGGCGAAGTTGTCGTCTTGAGTCGGCGTGGTGGTCCAACAGGTGTGCCCTCCTGCGAACAGTGAGCAGGTCAGTGGTCTCGTTTTTGTACCTCGTTTTCGTTATAGGTGTACATCTCACAAACAATACGACCTGAAACACCCGAGTCTGCCTTTGTCTGCGGTCACGACAAGTTCAATAGTTTCTCGTTTTGCCAGAGGCCGAAGAATGGGACTTCAACTTCCTCAAAACATCGGAGATAGGCAAAAAAAAAACGTTACACACGGTTTCATAAATTTTTTTACCACAAAAATAAATTACGTATTTTCATTTGCTTAGTTTTCGCCCAAAGTTAGCGCTACCTGTGTGGGCAAAGCTTTAAGGGTGCCCGTAATATATCTGGAGAGTTATAGCTTATTTCTGAAACTTTCTATTCGAAAATGGAGTCCGCTCATTCTACAGGGTATCCAAAAAAAAAAAATGTACGGGCCTTTTTTTTAACCATAAAAATAAAAACTACACATCGCCGACTTCTCAATGTCCGCCAAAATATAGCGCTAGCGGTTCAAACCAGATGCCAAAGTTTCAGAGGTACAGTATGTGATTTTTTTTTTTTTGAATCTTTTCAATGGAATAATGGCGACCCACACATCTCCCCAATACATGGAGCGAAACGGCGCCATTAACCGAAAACTGGCAGAAACGAGCCCATTTTTGGTTCATATTTTCCGAAAATCACTTATGGTTTTCGAATAAGATAACGTTTAGTTCTGAAACTGCCTCCTTTGGTTCGGACCACTAGCACAACCCTTGGGCAGAAAGAGAGCGTTCGGAGATGCGTAGTTCATTTTTGCGGTGAAAACAACCTTGTAAATTGACTTGGGGGACATCCTGTTGCTGACGTCATTAATGCCCCAGGGGTTGAATGACGTCAACTGCCCCTGGAATGGTCCCCATTTCCCCACTCAAAGTTCTCAAATTTCGGCATTCGGTCCGGACCGCTCATACATTGGCTCTGAATGAGCGTTTGGCGATGCCTACTTTTTTTCTGCGATGAATAACACGGGAAATGTTTTTTTCTTTTTTTGCGTGTTTTCTTCGGGGACATCCTGTAATTGACGTGCCGTCCACTCCCGCCCTGCGTACGGCACACCACTTGCTCGAGATTGATATTTTTTGTAGGTTTAGAGATCACCGCACCACAAGCCGCCGGAATTATTCAAATCGATACACGGAGATTCAGTCGAATTCAACTTAATTCGTTTTTTTTTAGCAGGAAGGCATGTACAGGTAACAAAAAAAAAAAACAAATGGGCCCATAGCCAGTTTACTATACTCGTTTTTCACCTCAAGAAAATGGGACATCGTTTGCGCCTTGTTCATATTCCGACCGAAGTATAGTTCTTACAAGATTCAATTGTCAAGGAAAGGGTGGACTTTTTTTTTTTTTTTTTTTGGGGGGGGGGGGGGGGCGTTTGAAGAGTGTACGTCTTGATAAGACGACGTATAGATTCTAATCTAAAATGCATATACACATACCTCAATTATTTACATAAGGGTAAATAAGCGTATGCTCCGCAAGGAGTGGGTTTTTTTTTTGTTTTGTTTTTTTTTTACTGCAGTTTTTGAGGTGAAAAATGAGTATAGTTTGCGTGAAAGTCCAGAAAATTTAAATCCCCAAGAAAGCTGCTATGGTCACTGATCGCTCAAAATAACGCAGGGTGCAGCCTTTAAGTTTTATGGCTCTCGCTTCATGATTGGTTCTTCGGCGTTTGTACCGGCGGATGCTCCAATCTGATTGGCTGCCGAGAGATAATGAGATGCATGCGACTCGCCAGGCTCTGCTCTTCTTATGCTCTGTGTGACTCCAGCTGTTAATAACTACACGCGGTATGCAGAAAATAAAAACAAATTTATTGTATCATTCTTTTACTTTCCGTGACTGTAACTAAAATCGTAAGTCAAGGGATATACTTCTTTTTTTACCGAATAACTGCGGTCAAAAAGTTTAATGGGTACACCTTGCGGGTTCCTCATCGCCACAAGCGTAATATGTTCAAGAACGTCGATCCTTAATTGAAGAGACCGCTCGTACGGCGGACTCCTTCTTTCGGATTAAGCAATTTTATATTTCGGCGAGGCGACAAATGTTCAGGTCTAGGGTCGTCTCATGCCTGCCGTGGCGCATCTGTTCGAGGTAGATGTCCTCGAAGTCCATTAAAAAACGATTACTCTTAGTCGACCTCGAAGAAACGTCGAGCCTTCCGTTAAGCCCACAAAGCAGAAACAGACAATTATTGAAAGATTAGACAAACAGACTACAGCTGAAGATGGAATCTGTTGGCTGGTAATTGTGCGACTGACAGCCGAACGACGTCGAGAAAACAAGCACGAAGCTTAAACCAGCGGCAGGCGTCGTTGAAACAAATGAACATCTATAAATCTGTGATGAATCAGACCAGTCAATATCTCGTTTATTCCACTAATGAGTGAGAATGTCTTGTCCACTACATGATTGTTCTATTCTTGCCGCGGTAACAAGTATTGCGAAGGAATGTCCTTATCATCTTAATATCGATTGTTGTTACCTTCATGGTAGCTTGGATACACATTGACATTAATTGTTATAAAAAATAACCTTCATTCAACAAAACAGACGCAACGAACGGTCAAGACAAAGCGGAGGTGCGACAACAAGCTAAATATCTGACATTCTTAACGCTGCAAAGAAGTTGTTTCAGTGGCCTAGGCCCATAGTTCCGCCCTTTCAGCATTCTTATTTTAAATAAAACACCCTAATGAATAGTAAAATTGGGTGCTATTGCATGGAACATATTTCATTTCGAACGATGTACAAAAGGATGTACAAAAAGGTGCTACGCGGTGAAATGAAGCGAACACTTTATAAAGGTGTTTTCGCCTGACCGACACCAACTTCTAACAAATCTTTTTGAGATGTTCTAACAGCGAAAAATGATGTATGGGTCTAATTTTTAACAATGCCTATCCGGAGACTTGTAATGCAAGGTCAACAGACACAGAAGAAAACCGTGTGCGAAGCTACTTTTGAAACGTATTACGTAGAGCTGCACATATTGGTGTCATAATTCTGCATTGACAAGTTTGAAAACGCATTTATTAATACTATTATGAATTATATAATTATATCTTCTCAAGGTTTCAACTTCTAGAAACGCCACCCAGTCAACTGAGTTTCACTAGTGTGGTAATTGCCTATAAGTACTGCATAATGCGGAACGTCTCTTCGGCTTTCTGTTAGCTACCGCACGCACTTAGATTTCATGGCTAAGAGTTGGTTGTCTATAGAATTGCGTGTGACGGCTTATCTGGGTACTGTAACTTTGGTGAACGATTTCGGAGGTTCGTTCTTTAATGGAAAATACTCATACATGAGTCGCAACTAATAACCCTTGTGTCTCATGGGTTTGTCTGCACGAACAATAAGATTCTCCTGTCATATTTTTTTTTTTGTTTCTTCTACCCTTTAGGAAAAGAAGAACAAAGTAATAATTAGAAGTTATGTGCTTGCTGGGGTGGACGTGCGCACTATGCCGCGAGGATTTTAGTATGCGAGTGTCAATATATATTTTTCTAATTCCCAAAGCATGTTTTATAAACTGTGACTTAAACATATATTCAAAACTTATGTTCGTAAACTTATGTTAGGATATCACAAGCGTTCCTCAAGCTGTATAAATAAAACCCAATCTTTCCTTATTTTTATCTGTCGAATTATCATTAAATCATAGTTATTGTTAATTATGAAGTTACTTTTTTTATCGTGTTTCATGAATATCCCCTACACATTGGATCCAGTCAACTATAGTTCACGTATTTTGTTTTGTTTTGTGTTTAGTCTAATATAAGCCGCAACGTTGTGCTGCCATAATTAACCTTAAAACAGCAACTTATATCAAATGAATTGCCGCAGCAGAGATGATTGGAAAAGAAAATACGTGCTATTTGTTTATAAGTTAGACATGCTATTTTCGCCTCAACGATCCTCCACAATGTGTTTGTTCATCGTTTCAATCAAGGTGGAGCGATTGATTTTATATGAAAAGCTATGGCGAACAATATGAAAAACCATAAGACAAGCAAAAACAATTATAATAATGTAATGTACAACATTTACTCGATTTTTTATTCGTGAAGAAAAGTAAGCAAAGTACTATAAGAGCTTAAGTCGCGCGTCAAATCACGCCTCCGTGTCTGTGCGGGTTTGGTTTAAAGAGCGTCTGAAACAATTATAATACTCATAGCAGCCGGGAATCTGATTATTTTCTAAGATCGCTTTTCTTGTTAACGCACTATTTATTATGAATAAAACAACGCTTTCAGCCAATAAATGCACTCCTTTCTTGCACCAATCAATGCCAAAGCTTCGATAGTCAATTCTTTTTATCAGACCTACGTTAACTTAACTCTTCAGAAATCCCTAATGGATAGTTGCACACTGAGATTTATAAAAAAGTTATTTAAGTTTGCAAACCTGCCTGTGTAATACAGCTTCCAATAAACATTAAGAAAAATTACGATTAACATTACTTATTGTAAGAGGATTGAAACATTGTAAAAATATTTTACTGCAATAACACTTTACAGCAAACAAGATTAACATAAATCTGTCATTTACAAAAGTAAAACACAAAGTGTTCTACCGGTAAAATAAAAACTTGCTTAATAAATATTAGTCGTAATGGTAACCACTAAAACTAAACCTCACTACTTTCGCCTAAACCTGAAAAGTTAATTCTCCTATTTTGTTTTACATACTCAAATGTTTTTTTATTATTATTTTAGTTACCAAAAGTGGATCTGGCACGCACAGCGAAAGTAGGAAGATTGATCCCCCCCCCCCCCCCCCCCCCCCCCCCAATCTGGGGATCAAATTCTGACGTGCAGACGAAATTTCGGTTAGACGGCACCTTCTCAGCAAGAGATCTCTTTGAGGTATCGGGAACATCGGCCGGGATTCGAACCAGCCAACTGAGTTTGGCGTATTGGCGACCAAAAATAGCTTCCGCTATAAAGTGGAAAGGTAAGACGAACAAGTGTATCGTTCAGTC